GCATTCTTCACTGAAACCTTCCAGGGGAGCCCTCCCATCATCAAACCATTCCTCTCAAGAGTGAGCACTTCACTTTTCAATAGTTTGATGCTTTCCTCTGACACCTCTCCACATTTTACATCCTAATTCCCAGAGAGCACATATACTCACCGCAGAAACAGAGAGAGGATGAAAACACTCTGATGGAGTGTGGTCACACTGCAATCCTTTCTCCTTGTTTCTCCAGGCTGTTGGGATTTGGGACATGTAAGCACATGTGCCCGGTGTGTTTCTCAAGGTGTCACGGCTAGGATTCCAACTGTCTGGCTGGCCATGTGGGATCTGGTTCCTCTAACCACTAGGCTATGGGGCAGCCCATGTTTTTACATCCTGGAAGGAAACAGAACAATGCCAGAAGGCTGGAGTGCCGAAAAGGACAAGAGAGCTGAGGCGTTGTTAAGAGGTCAATGGATGTGGAATAAAGTGAGATAAAAGGGCACAAGTAGGAAAAAGTGAGGGACTAACAGATGGAGTAATAGTTACGACACTGGACTCTCATGTAGTTGACTGTGGTTCAAGTCCTAGACCTGGTGGCTTAAAACTCACGCTGAGTGTGCATGCATGTGTGCCCAGGATCCCTGGAAGAGAAGGGATTGTGGTGTGGTCACTCCCCCTGGGGGTCTCTTTCTCTCCAGCAACACACACGCCCTATAGCAAAATTCTCTCTAAGAAAAAAAAAATAAGTGAAGGGATCTGACAGCACCACACTGTAGAGGGTCTTACCTTGCTCTCCTCAGTCTCTAATTCTCCACAAGCACAAGGAAGTGGCCATTGGCTTCCTATGCTTAGCTCTTTTTTGCGTTCTCCCTTTCAGCAGCCTTTAGCCAGTGTCTAATGGGAACTGAGCTGTGCTGGACGGTACATGGTATAAGCTGCACAGCACATTTTGAAGACTTCAGAAGAGAAACAAAATATAAACAGATTTTATTAATATCTCATTAATAATTTTGGGGGGATATTGCAAAGCTGAAAGTTTCTTGAAGGAGAGAGAAGGAAAATACAGCTTGCGAGAAGGGAGAAGCCTTGGAAAATGGGTTGCCAAGGAAAACCTGAAGTGAGGGGGTTTTATTTTGGTCAGGAAGGGCTTTGTCTGGATTTGTTCTGGGGGCTTGTGCATGGTTTCTCCTTGTGGGATGGGGGTGAGGGAGGTCTGCTGCATGGGTCCAATTATTCTTCTAATTTTGGCATGGATAAGAAGGTCTGGACATTGTTTAGGAGCTTTGGGCCATAAAAACCATTACCTTATGCTCTTCCTGGCATGTGGTGGGCCTGGGAAAGAGCCTTGGTTTTACATCTGGGTCATGCTGCTTAGGTCCATCACTGAGCCACAGCTGCAAGAGGTCTCTCCGAGCAAGCAGCTGAGCCATTTTGTGATTCCATTTTGCACCTATACTCTAGCTATATTTTTATGGTCTCTGTCTCCTATCTAATTTCCCCTTCTGCAAAGAAGTCCTAACTGCTAAGAGGAACAATTTTTAAAAATATACACACTGTATTTGAAATTACGATATTTTAGATATATTAAGTTCAGGTAAAAATATTATTGAAGTTCATTTTACCTGTATCCTTTTTTTTTTTAAATATGGCTACTAGAAAAAAATTAAAATACATACATAACTTGAGTTATGTTTCCCAGACTCCAGACCTGGTTTCCTTGAATTTCCTACTGCCAAAGCCTGAAATTCAGGGAACCTAGGCTCATTCTTCCACAGGCTCCTTTCATAGGTTCATTCTCTCAAGGGTGGAACCCCTCCATGGTACGAGCACCGCCAGTGGTGGTCAAGGGGCTACTGTGTATAGCCGCTGTGGCTGCATGCACAGGCTGGGGTGTCTGTTACCCACACAACTGAGGTTTCTTGCTGTGCTGCAAAGCCAGGGATAGAAAGAGAGGAAGAACCATCTGCAGACAGGGCTTTACAAGTCTGTGGGATGCCCTGGGCTCTAGGTAAAGGTAATCCTGAGGAGGTCAAAGAAGACTTACAGTTACAGATGATGACAGTGAGAGCTGGAAGGACAGATTGTGATTGACTTCTGTGCCAACAATGTCCAGGCTGGGGCTAGAGGGTGGTGCTCAGTGACGTGGAGTGCACGTCTGTCATTGACAGCTATTTTCCTTCTGAAGTAGGAAAGTCAACTTGATGGCTGTGAGCAAGGGAGGGAAGAAAAAATGTAAGCTGCTTAGAATGGACAGAGCAAATTTTGAGATACTTGTGTGTATTTGTCTTGAGCTTTATGCCCTCACTGATGGCGGAGGCTAGCATCTTCTCAATAAATAACGAGAATAGCCCAGTTCTGAGCTGAGCAAGAACCAGAATTTAAGCTCCTTGTCTAGCAAACAGAAAGAGTATCTGCTGGGCATAGAGTATTAAGAAGCAGGGGTTCTGGGATAAGCAATAGGGGAGGGGTTCAGTTTGCCATGCTGCAGCCAAAGTGGAGACTCAACCCTGGGAAAAACACAGAAACCAAGTTATCAAAACTAGATGCCAACTTAAAGCAATTATGGCAAGAAGATTCGCTGAGTCTCAGACAGTTGAACTACAGCTGCCTCAGTCCCTCAGGTCACTTAGAGTCAAGCAACCTCAGCAGTGAGAGACGACACTCAGCAAAAGCTGAGAACCTGGCGGGCCTGACCGTTACCCAGGAAATATAGGCATGCCCACTTGACTGTCCTTGAATATGGACCACAGGTCCCATTGTTATAGTGGAATCCACGTAGTAGAATTAAAAATGCTTCTTATGCCTAATACGTAATGGATGTGTAAACACATAGTGACCTGTGTGGAAGAGAGTAGGAGAATTAATAAATTAGAAGACTAAGTGATTTCATAGTGCAGTCTTCAACATGATTATATGATCTTGGAAAAAACCATTTCCGCTCTCTTGGCCTCAGGTTCTTATTTGTAAAATGAAGTAAAATCAGACGATCTAATCTATTCCTTTCATATATTTTTAACCTTATGCAAATACAGAACATACAAATTGTCATCATGATAAATAAACTCTTAGCAAAATGGCCATGCTGTTGATGTCAACTCAGCACATCTTTGCTTTCCCTAAGGTTTTTCTCTGTAGTTTAATTTGTTTCATTTGGGTGCCGCGTGAGCGGTGAGGTAGAAGGAAACCAAGGACTTCTAAGTCATCATTTCAAGCAGTCCAAAATATCAGACAGTTGTACAAGTTCAAAGTTAGAAAAACTAAGCCATGGGAAAGAAATGCCGGATACCTTAAACATCCTCTTTCTCTAAGCTTGACACTGTCCTCAAGCAGTAGTTTGGGATTTCTTCCCTCTTGCTGCTGGAATAGTACCAATTTGGTTTTACTATGGAGCACTAATTCTGTTTGTTATGCTCATTGTGCATTTTATGGTTCACACTAGAGTCAGAAGCCTGAGGACACAGCGCAGTTCCAAGGAGCACATGTCACAGGTCATGATCGCTTAGCATGAAACCCCATCCTGACTCTCACCTCTGTGAGACGTGAGGAGGGCAATTTTAAGAGCCTGGAGTAAGCTATTCTTAAATTCTGGAGCTGTTAAACTTTATCTGCAAGTCAAGGACAAAAAGTCAGGAATGAAACAATGATCAGTTCGGCCAACTTCTTCCTCCCTACATTAAAGAACAAGGCTCTGGTTTGTGACTTGCAATTTTCTGAACATGTCCAGATTGTCAAAAGGACATTGCTGGTGCCACCTAGTGGGCCTATTGTAAATCTCACAGTCTTACGGAGAACCCTTAAAATGAAGAGATTGCCTGTGACCAGGGCTTAAATTTGGTGGACAGGTATGTTGGCTACTTTCTGCAAGGTCTACTACAAGGTGTTTTGGTATTTTATCCTGACATAAGGATGTAGAGATCAAGGTGATTTTTTAAAAACTTAACATGCAAGTTCTCCGAGGATAATACCAAGGGCAAAATAAGATACAAATAAGTAATAAGGCAGTTACTCCTATTTCAAACACATTTGGGCTATCAAGGAGTTTCTCAAACTTTTCCCCTCCTTATCTGATGAAGAAGCAATTACCATTACTGCAATGCAATTTGAATGCAGTGCATTTGCTGATATATTAGCTCCCGACAAATGTGCAATAACTGTAATTTATGGTTACAGTCTGACTTCTCATAAAACATTCATGGCGGGGGGGCAGTAGGTGGCATAGTGGGCAAGGTACTGGACTCCATTTGACTGACAGTGATTTGAGTCCCAGACCTGGTGACTTGCTTTCTTACTTTCCCTCTCTCTGTCTTTCTCTGGTGTACACACATGCCCTACAGCAAAACTTAAAAATAATAACAATAACAATAATAATAAATAAAATAAATAATACATAATACTAAAAAATTCATTTGATCTCTTCATCCTACCCATGAATATTATGTGAACAGCTGTCTGCATTAGATCTAGAATCCATTTCATAGAAGAGCCTGTTAAGAACATCTGTTCAACTCAGAGTGAGCACTCAAATACTATGCTTACTTCCAGTGTCAAGCTCAGAGAGACATCTGGAATCATTTGAATTCAATGCTCTAGCCACAGTGGAAGGATGCTGATCCAACTAAGAACAATTAGATCTGGAATTTGAAACTGAGACAGAAGCAGAGATGGGAGTTGGGAAATAATCCTGACTATGTATCTTCATCATGGGTATCTTCCTTCAGAGGGATATGTGGGCTCAGGGTCGGGAGGCTGGCCTAGGAAGATGGGGCTTATGAACCCAAGGCTGACCAAACTCTTCTAGGACCTTAGTCACCATAACCTGGTGCCATTCATCCTACATTCTGAATTCATTCTTATGAAACAAAGGACAACAACAACAAAACAGTGAATGAACTACATTCGTCAAGAAATATGGCTATGGATCCCTTTTACAGAAGGAAAGTTAAAATAATACCTAAAGACAGAAATACCACTGAACACCATTTGTTGAAAATATCTTTTTATTATAAACAACATAAAAACGTCCTAATACAGTTTGCAAATACACACTTTGTTCTCTTCGCCTGAGTTTTTATGAAGTAGATCTCAGTACAACAGTTCTTCCCTTGACGGTCATTCACATATTTAATAAGTACCAGAAGCCCTTCCAAGTGCCAAACACTATGAAAAGTGTTAGAGGATTTAAAAGAGAGAGAAAGAGAGAGAGAAGGCACAGTTTCATATCTTAAGAGGATCGCAATCTACCATATTGCCTTTTTTTTTTTTTTAGGGGATGACTGTTTTAACATAAATACTTCCAATTTATAAAATAGATAGGGCTTATTTTATTTCAAGCTATATTAATCATTATAAAATACACTATACCCAAGGCAAATTGGACAATTGAAATAATTAGCTAGAAAAAATATAATTGAAATACTACTTTTATTTAGTCCTAAATAATCAAATCATTTATGAAAAAGTGATGCCATGGGATTTAATTATCTTGATAACAATTATGTTTGTAGTATGACTTTTGAAAGACTTGAAATATTTTAATAAAAAGGATTGTCTGTCTTTATCTTATATAAATATGCAAAAAAACAAACAAAAAAAACAAAAAACCCCCTCTTATTTGCCTTGAGAGCAGCCCTTGAGTTGTTGCCAAAAGTGAAAATCGGAGGCCAAAGCCACATCTACGTTCCTCAACCTTAGCCTTTGGCTCTTCTGTTAATGGCTTTGACATTTTCTTAATGTCTATGTGAGAACAGTGTACAAGTAAATTCTCAGTGCAAAACTCAAATTATTTCTAAGAAAAGTTGTCCGTAATCTATTTATTGCAGACATTTTCCTTTGATTTACCTATGTTTCCCCCAAATTCCATTTTTATAATCTGTTATACTTTTTAATAGAGAGGATTTATTAACTGTATAAATGTGATTGACTTTTATGCCTTTGTAAAGTTTTGTCATAAATATATTTTTTAAATTATGTTGACTCTTATTAACAGACCACTGGTCCCATTTTTGGTGTAGGAAGTACTATCAACCAGTTTCTGTATAGCAGACAAGAGATGATCTCTAGAGATACTCAATTTCATTTTTAAAATTCTTTGAAGTGGTTCCAGCCACATAGAGTCATACAGATACAACAAAGCAAAGATAACTTACTGAAGCTTGTTCACAGAACTAAGCTTTCTCCTGATATCTCTCCTTTCCCTGACCCTCCCCCCATACCTTTGGAAGTATTATCCCAAATGCTCTTCAGGATTTAAATAGAAATTTCAAAAAAATTTTAACACCACAATAGAGAATTTGTTGGCATAACTCGAACAACACGGTTACTCCAGATGCTGTATTCAAACTGTATGGGCCCGTTGAAAAAGTATATATAACCTACAAAAAAAGACCATAAAGAAAATGTCAGAGTTTGAAAATAATGTTTTACCTCTATCTAATATTAAAGGCCAAATATGTTAGAGCCATTTTCTAATATTCCAGACTTGATCTTTTAAAACTCTAATGTTTTAATAGGTTACTTTATAGGTTTTAAAAGAAAGGTATACATGTTCCCAATTTTCCTGTCATCTACAATTGTTTTCCCATGACTTTCATTTCTTTTATGCTTGAATTATTGATAGTAGTTATTTAGTAAAAGTTAGAGATAATATACCTTTTCATAATTAAAGTGAAAAATCAGTATTTAGCTCTGGTAGTCATAAGGCTACATGTAAATTGTTCTCCACTTCACCTATTGTTTGAATTTTGGCAATACCTTTTGCATCTTGGCATCTTTAAATATAATAATACTTAAAGTTGATATTTCTTATTCATAGAATTAGCGATTATTAAGTAAGATTCTTATTTATTCTAGGCATATTGTTTTTTTGTTTGTAAGGAGTCACACAGGAATGATTAATTCCTGAACTGTCATATATTTATTAGCAGATAGATGTTGTGTATAAATGTCTTTTGTATGGAAAAGTGTTTCAAAGGGATACATTAGCCCTTCTTTAAGGTCAGTGCAATATAACATTACCATTTTTCTCGTAGACAGCATCTACTTTGTCACCAATTCCTGGAAAGTCCTCTTCTATTAGTCTGGGGTAGTCTTTATCCATAACATGGTTAGTATCATCATAGCTATTTAATAAGAAACAGAAACTCTTAAGTAGGTTATAATTTTTATAACCTTGGGAAATTATCTTAGAAAAAAATTACCTTAGAATTAATATAATTGCTTTAGAAAAAAATAGAATGGATATAAATGGCATTTTTCAAAATTGACACAAGTGTAAGTTTTTTAAGTCCATTTAAAACATCTGATAAGCTTTTGTAAATTATGAAATGCAATACTGAATGTAATATATAGTGGACATGTGTTGAGCATTTGTTGATTTCCCTAAAGTCATTTTTGTGTAGATAGTTACAAGCTCATTTCTTTCACATATTATATATCTGTTTAAAAGCATATCATTAAGAAGTGTTCTTAGAGTGAAGTAAATATACATTTATGCATCTAACAATTATATGTTGATCTCCCACTATATACAATGATAGATATAAAATACTTAAGATTCAGTTTCAGCATAAAAAGATACAGGAGATTTTGGGACCGGCAGTTGGCGTAATGGTTATGTCGCTGGATTCCCATGTAGTCGACCGCGGTTTGAGTCCCAGACCCAGTGGCTTAAACGCATACCGGGAGCATGTGCATGAGTGCCCAAGATTCTGAGAGGATAATGGAGGAGAAGGGATTGCAGCATGGACATCCACCCTGGGGGGGGGATTTCTCACTTTCTGTCTCTCTGTCTCTCTCTGTCTTTCTGGTGAGTGCACATGCCCTATAACAAAAACCTCTCAAAAAAAAAAAAAAGATACAGGGATTTTGTAGTGATACTAAAGGCTAAAGGTAGGTTGGGGATTATTGCTCTTCCCTTCTATAACTTAATATTCCACACTCCTTCTCCCCTGACCACACCCAACCCTGGCCAACCAAACATATTCTGAAATTAACCTGAGAGAAAAGGTTCCCATAAGATACAACTGCTATTGATAAGAACTTTGTATACCCTCTAAGTATGTTCCAGTACATAAAATTCTGAGAGTACATGTAACCATGACACAAGACAAGAGAGCATCATGAGAGACATCATGGAATGTCATGAAAATATGGGAAAAGGGGAGATAATCTAGGAATAGAGTGATTAGAAAAGATTTTGTGGATGAAATATTTCAAATGAAATATTCCCTTTAAGTAAAGGGAAGTATTTCAAGGGAAGAAATGCAGGGAAAGACCTCCCAGCAAAGAAAACTGTGTAAGAGAATAGAAGGGGATATAAAAGCACAGTGTATTTGGGATACAGAAAGCAATCCATCTTGACTGAACCATAAACTTCTCACAGAGTATAGAGAATAGAAGGTATTAAGAGGGAGAAGCTGGTGGCAACTCTCAGAGAGGTGTGTGTCACAGTCAAACATAAAGAGATCAGAGGCAAAGATGATATATTAAGGGATGTATATGTGTGTGTGCGTGTGTGTGTGTGTGCATCTGTGTGCATGTAGAGATGGAGTACATTAACTTCTATTTTAAACATTTTGAGTGTTGGGTCTTTATTTGATATTCTCATTCTCAAATACAGACATGGATCTGAATTCCTCTAACTATTACCATTGTCAATGCTATCTGAATCTTTACATATGTTTTCAATATTCCACTTCCACTTGTCCTTCAAAAAGTTCTACTTATCACTTTTCTGGTCAACCTCTCCAATAGATAGGCTGAAGATTGGGGGGAGGACCCTCTCTCAAGCAATCATTTACTGTACCTATTCTGGGCCCCCCTCATGCCATGGAAGATGGAGCCATACAGAAATTAGAAGAAGGGGCAAAAAAGAGAATCCAGAAAAAAAAACTAGAATAAAGATTATAGAAGTAGAGAGAGTAATGGTAGATACCAAAAGCTTCAAGTTGAGGGGAAGAGGATTTGGGAGAAAAGGAGCAACAGACACAGGAATGTATGAGAACAAGTGGGATAAGTTACGGAGCTGTATAACCACTGCCAAGTAAACACATCACTGACAATTCAAAACTTACTAAAACAAACAAACAAAAAACTAGTAGAGAGCTGTTATTGAATGTGTACAATGGTATGTAATGTTCAGTGTTGAAGACAATGAATATGTCTACAGCCTTGATTTTATTATTACACAATATATGCATGCATTGAAAAACCATTCTGTAACCAAAAGATGTACAAGATTATTTGTAAACCAGGGATTATAATCTTAAAAAGTGAAAAATAATTCAAAGACAAGAAGAAAGGAAGGTACCAAAATAAAAAGAAAAATAGTTTTGAGGCATAATAAAATGCTAAGAAAAGAAAAAACAGTTGAGATGAGGTGAATATATATGGATGTGTGTTTTCAAGAAGTCTTGAGACTTAAATACATGTCTGAGAGGCTGCCTGAAGGAACTGACATAGAACAAAAACAAATGACTAATATAATTTTTAAAATAATGCGTAGGGGGGCAACTGATGGCTTGGTTAGGGTGCTAGACTCTCACATGGCTGACCACAGTTCAAGTCCCAAACCTGGCAGCTTCCTTTCTCACTTTCTCTCTCTCACATACATACATGTCCTATAGCAAATTAAAACAATAATAATAATAAATAAAATTAAATAATTCTTTAAAAAATAATGCATGAAATAATAATTTATAGTAGTGGGTGACAGTGTGTGAGACTCACTCTGCCCTATGACACAAGATGGATTGTTACATATTGTTGCCATACCTCCAGACCTGGTCTCCTGAGAAGAAGAGAGTCTTGCCTGTATCCTCGAAGTGAACAGCTGCACTTATCTTCTTAACCTCTTTTGGAAATCCCAGTTCAGATATTTTTTTGGGATAACCTTCCTGGATGTCATAACCATTAAGAGCCCAAAATTTCCTACCTAAAATAAGTAAATGAACAGTTTAGTTATCCATGGATTCTAGTAGGGTTCACATATGTTAAACATTCACTATGAATAAAATATTTATTGTTTGTGGTCATCACGTTTGTGAAACAGTGCTCAGAGCATTCTTCAAAGAAAAAAATAGACTTAAGAATCTAATTTCCCACTAAATATCACAATCAATTTGGCAATTTATCCTTCTGAATCTTAAAATTTCTGCACAAATAATTTCAAGTCAGTAAAAGCAGTAAATTATTGGGTTGTTGGAAAAATTATGATGCATTCTTGCATAGAAAAACAGAAAATATGTCATGACTTTTCCGATGACCCAAGAGATTGAAAACTCACATTTTATACTCCTTATAAAATTTTTTTCTGTAAGAAATAATTTCATTGTAATATTAACAAATAGTTAAACAATAGTAACATCTATTACAGTAATTTTAAATTATGAGCATAAAGGTGGACTAGCAACTCAGGAAATTTTCCATGATTTTGTGTTAAGGAAGTAAGCAGAACAGGAGACCAGCAGTCAGCGTAATGGCTATGTCGCTGTACTCCCGCGGTTCACGTCCCAGACCCAGTGGCTTAAAACTCACGCCGGGCGCGTGTGCGTGGGTGCCCAAGATCCCCAGAGGAGAATGGAGGAGAAGGGATTGCGGCATGGCCATCCCCCCTGGGGGGTAATTTCTTGCTTTCTGTCTCTTTGTCTCTCTCTGTCTGTCTGGCGAGCCCACGCGCCCTATGGCAAAAACCTCTCCAAAAAAAAAAACAGAAAAGGAAGTAAGCAGAAAATAAAAATGTACCTTCTGACACAATGAAAGTGAATATGTATTAAATATGGTGAAGGTGGGAAAGCAGGTGTGTGGTGGTTAGAGCTCTGGACTCCCACATGGCTGACTGTGGTTCAAGTCCTGGACTCAGTGGCTTGCTTATTCACTTTTTCTCTATGTCTCCTCTCTCTCTTTCTCTCTCTGGTGAGTGCATATGCCCTCTAGGAAATTTAAAATAGTAATAAATGAAACTAAATAAATAATTCTTTTTAAAAAAGGTAAAAGACTGAAAAAGAAAGAAAATAAAATAAACTGAATTTTGAAAAATAAAATTACATATATTTTTTAAAATAAAAAAATGAACATCATTATGTCTTCTCAGTTAATAATTTCTAAAATAAATTTCCTGAAGTGTGCATGCACTCACCAGAGAGAGACAGAGAGAGAAAATGAGAAAGCACCCCCAAGAATTAATTTCAGTATATTTTTGGTAGTGATCATTTTACTCAGTCTTTGGAAGCTTTGCGCTCACCATTGCCTACCCTGGTCCTGGGGGATGCCTCCTTCAAGGAAGGAGCTTACCTCTGAAGATGAAAATCAGGTCATGAGAAGGATGTTCGTATGCAGCATCAACGTGGTTGGGAAGCTCTGGCCAAAACGACTTTGTTAAGAACAGCTCCACGTCAACCTGCTGAGGATGCAGGCGCCAGAAGAATCTAACACAAAAGTAACAATACAGAGTTTTCAGTTATGTTTTTTAAGTGCCATGTTTTTATCCAGCTAGCTGCCTCTCTCCACATCAGTACAAATAAATTAGATGCAGCCATTCTCTAGCACTTATAAAGTTAAAAAAAAAATTCCACCTCCCTTTAAAGGCCAGCTACCAGCCATGGCTATCCTAACTTTAGTCTAACATATCTAAGTGCAAAATCCCACAGAGCCTTTGTGAAGGCTCTAAGTCTTTGGTGGGTTGAGACTACTCTGTCCCATTTGTGTATTTTGCAAGTGGCCAGCACGTGAGCCAGGCACTCGTGTGTTGGGCTCAAGAAAGAAAACAAGAATTACATGAACTGTCTTGCAGGATCTCATGGCCTGGGAAAATGGGTACAGGAGGAGGCACGAGAAGTATGATGTCATTAGAGCTCTAGTAGAGGGGGTGGAAATGCTATGGGATCACAGATGGGGGAGCAGTTAATTGATGTGTGAATGAACAAATGAACTGATAAGCATATTAGAACAACCTAGAAATTATAAATTAATATTTCACTTTTCATTATCTTTAGAGTGAGGCTATAAACACTCTCTCTCAAAGTCTAACATATATATCCAGAATGAAAGTCTTTCCAAACCAAAAATAATTCATGTGGACATTATGAGTAACAGTTTACCAAGCTAGTAATTACTTTCTATTCTTGTCTGTTTTTTAAATAAATTGGATTTCCAGATTCAGTTATCTTCCTAAAAAAGGCTATAACCACAGGTATAAAAAAAGTTGCCCAGTGCAAAAAGTATCCATTGAAAAATATAACAGTTGTCTATCAGTCATTTATTTTATCTGAAAAATGGAAATAAATTACCCAGGGGTCTATTATTTTCGCTGTTCAACTTCTCCTTTAGAAGTCTGGTCATGTATTTTGGCAATCTGCAGACATGGCAATACAAGTGTCTCCCAAATGCAATGAAAGAAGCTCAAGAGTACCTGTCTTTAAAGATCATTGTTTCGCCTCGGAGACTGGTAATGGCATCAAGGGATAAAGAGGGATCACATTTGTCTGGTGTTTTGGGATGTTTAGGGTTGGGGTCTTCATCTCCTGGACCTGTAGTTGTGTAACGAATGGGAGAAGTTACTGAAGTTGACCTTATTATGACTTGAGTGACAGCCCAATAGACTGATCCTGATAACAGAGAGGGAGGGACATTAGTCTCAGGGCTCCTACTAATAGTGCAGATACCCCATAATCTACTTGTTTCTTCAGGGGTTATTAAGGTCCTGCAAGGGGACTGCCCCTCTGCTTCCATCCCTTAAAATTCCTGGAGGTTTTTCTGAAGCTAAACCATTTAATTTAAGTTTCTTGATGTTGATGCTAGAAATGAAGGGCAAGAGGAAAACACTCTGCAAAAAAATTCTCCAAC